CCACAGTGGGTTCCTTGATTACCTGGCCCGGGCACAGTCCAGCCAGAACCGGTGGGGACCTGCCCGTGCAGCCCTGACCCTCTGCCTGCTCTGGGCTCACTTGCCCAGGCTCAGTAGTGGCAGCGTGGTACAAAAGCTGTTGCTGAAAGGAGTTGCCTGCCATCTGGGCTGCCTAGAAAGGCAGTTCAGCTGTGGAGCTGCCCCAGTCCCACTGCGCGCCCAAGAGACGGCAGGACATGTCACAGGCCAACGGGGTGGAGCAGGCATGGGTTGGGCTGGGGTCACACACCCCACAAACACTACACTCCCCCACACGCACCCCCCTTCACATCCGTGTACCTCTGAGGGGAGCCCTGCTCAATGCTATATGCATCCCGCCATGCATACTCCACACACCCCCATGCGCGCTCCACACCCACACATCCCCACAAACATACCCACAAATTCCCCCCCCCACACACACACAGCCCTCCACACTCCCCTACAATATACAAGAATAAGACTTCATTTTGAGCTATTATGTAATCACCTCTATATACACGACACAAATGCAAACAAATCAGGACAAAAATATTTTTACAAAAAGAAAAATGTCGTTAATGTTTTAGTTTTAGTTTATAATTGGGTTTTTTTCTGGTTCCAAGATGGCAAACCCCCTTCCCAAAAGGAATACATCTGGGGACAAGGGGAGGGACTTCTGGTGGCAGAGGTCAGGGGTTAGGGAGTGGGACGTATGGTCCCAAGATGGCAATCGGGGAGTGGGGCACCTGTCAAGGGCCAGGGCTACCCTTGGGGCCCTCAACAGGTCACCAAAACTTATTAGGTGGCCCTCCACCCAAAATATTTGCCTGTCCTGCACTAAGCAATATCTTGCTGGTTTTCTTTCCTTCCATGTGGACTAAATACTATCATGCATCAGTATTGCTCAGTTATAATATGGCTTGTCAGTCTTTCCATGTTGTGGGTGTGGGAGAGAGAAGGGAGTTAGAATCATAGAAAATTAAAATTGGAAGGGACCTCGGGAGGTAATCTAGTCCAACCCCATGCTCAAAGCAGAACCGTTCCCAACTACATCATTGCAGGTTTGTTGAGCCAGGCTTTAAAAACCTCCAAGGATGGAGCTTCTGCCACCTCTCTATAACCTGTTGCAGTGTTTTATTATCTTCCTAGTGAGAAAATTTGTCCTAATATTCAACCTAAACTTCAGACCGTTGCTCCTTGTCATCTGCCACCACCGAGAACAGTTGGAGAAAGTTCACTAAAATCAAATGTCTAGGCAAAAATGTGGTGTCATGAACCCCACTATAGTTTGGGGGTGTCATGCATGCTTTCCTGCATTTGTTTTACTGATAGTATAGTATAGTCTCTGTGTATAGGTAGCTTAACTCTATAATAGAGTCTCTATGTCTCTATAGTCTCTATGTATAGGTTTCAGCTTTAGTTAAGCTTTAGTTAAGCAGGCAAGGAAGGGTGAATCTTAGACTACAGAGGTGGGTGGATGGTAATAGGATGGGATTCAATGTAGGTAAATGCAGGGTGCTGCACCTAGGGAGAAGGAATCCACAGCATACATACAAGCTGGGGAGCTCCCCCCTTGTGAGCACAGAGGCGGAAAGGGATCTTGGAGTCATTATTGACTCCAAGATGAACATGAGCTGCCAATGCCAGACCGCAGCCAGCAAAGCCAGCCACGCCTTGTCGTGCTTCCAAAGATGCATCTCAAGCTGGTCCAGAGAGGTGATACTCCCCCTCTACGCGACATTGGTCAGGCCTCAGTTGGAGTACTGCATCCAGTTCTGGGCACCGTACTTTAAGAAGGATGTGGCCTGCCTTGAGAGGGCTCAGAGGAGGGCCACCTGCTTGGTTGGAGGGCAACAGGGCAGGCCCTATGAGGAGAGGTTGAGGGACCTGAACCTGTTCAGCCTCAGCAAACAGAGGCCGAGGGGAGATTTGGTGGCTGCTTACAAACTCATTACAGGAGATCAGCAGCAAATAGGCAGAGCCCTATTCTCCCTAGCAGCACCTGGGGTGATGAGGAACAATGGCCAGAAACTGCTGGAGAATAGGTTCAGGTTAGAGATTAGGAGACACTATTTCACTGTCAGGGTAGCTAGGATCTGGAACCAACTTCTTAGGGAAGTGGTCCTCGCTCCTACCTTGTGTAAATTCAAAAAGAGGTTGGATGAACACCTGTCTGGGGTCATGTGATCCCAGCGTGTGCTCCAACCAGTGGCGGGGGGGTTAGACTAGATGGTCTATTCGGGTCTCTTCTGACCCCTAACTACTATGAAACTATGAAACTCAGGTTGCCTGTGTGTTCTCATAGTGATTTTCATTTCATAGCAGTTTACATGCAGTAGGCACATCCTACAGTTTGTGCTCCATGTATGTTAGGATATTTAATGCAAAGTCACAGAAATTCTTGGATATACAGTTTACTTGAGGCTTTGTCCCATTTCACTTGCTCAGCTTGGGTTATGCATATATATCGGGTTGTCCATAATTGCCACAGTCCTGAGTATAGTTCATGTTTCTTAACTTCAGTACGTAACATTTCCTTCTCTCTTCAAATTTTTTCATCATAGCTTTTTCTTATAACAGTTTCTATATACAGATGTCAGGATGCTAACAGCTATAGGTACACCATGTTTCTTTGCAACTGGTATTGCATTTTCTCACATATACAGATCCTTGAATGTAATACACTGTTATTTTGAAAGGCAGAGTGAAGAAAAATGATTTGTCCAGAGTTATGGCTTACTAAGGCAAGGGCAGAGTCTGATCTTTAGCTGAGTCACCCTTCCTCGCCTGCTTAACTAAAGCTGAAACCCTAGATGCTGCTGAAGACTCCCCTCCAGGGTTGGCTCTATGATTTTGAAGAGAGATAAAGAGTCTCCAAGGCTGTGGAGTATGGGGAGAGAGACCAGGAGCAGCTTGAAGACAGGAAAAGGCTAGCTTCATTAGCAGAATATCAAAACCAGTAAAAAGGAGAGACTATTGTTAACATCATCTGTGGAGTGAAGAACAATGAGCCATTAAGTCAATTGACTCCCTCAGCTACTTGAATAGTAATGTAACAACTGCTGCAATGTGAAGCAAGAATCAAAGCATGCTTTTATTTCAGGCAGAAACTTACTTTCCCTGCTTTAGTACATACACCCCAATTTTTGGTGGAGTGCTGATTTTTGGGGGAAGTATACATGATGTGTGTGAAAATATGGTATTTGGCAATCTTGGTTGTGTAGAGGAAGGTCTGAGAGACTAAATTACAGATTTAAATGGTGTGACTATTTACCTTTACATGCAAATTATTTTTATTTTTTTAAGGTATCCCAGAGCAACAAGCTTAAACAAATAGGCAGGGAAATGTGTTTTTTTTTTTTTACTTGTTCCTCTGTATGCCTATTGCATGTTGGAGCATGTGACCTTACTACTGGGTACAGTTTGTGTCTGCACTAAGCTGTTCATTCAGCCATGCTGGACAAGAGCCAGATATGAAATGAAAAGCAAATCATGCGCACTTTACTCCTTCTCAGTTTAAATTAGGCAATTTCTTTCTTTGTCCCTAGTCTTCATTAAAGTATGGCATTACTATCTAATTTTAGGTCTAACAGTTGAAAGCTGTGAAGTTATGTTAAGCCGTATATAGATGTTCTGGTAGGAACATTCCAGTCGATTGCAATACGAGTTGAGAAGAAAGTTGAAAGTAAATAAGAGATCTGTGAGAGAATTCTCCAGGGAGTTTTCACAGCGTACCACACATCATTGGCAAAGATAGGCTTTCCTTTTACTTGAAGGACCACACAAAATAATTTCTGTTTCTTGGGCAATTAAAAAATATAGGACAGTAGGTCTTTTCAGTTTGTACTTAAATGTCTCTATGGGAAGCCTTTATTTGTAGCAGGAAAATACTGTGTTTGCCTATATTTTTAGGAGTGTAGTTAATATATATTACAGAAATACACACGCGCATTTATATAAATCTCTGTCTTGGTGCATAAGTTACGACTCATCCCAAATGTAAATAGCAGTCGCTAGGCCCGTTTTAAAACAAAAATAGTGTTATATTCCAGCATATTTTCACTAGTGAGCCACTTGCCTATCTACTGGGTCCTTAATAATGTATTTAATATTAGGTAGCCCAAGAAGTCAAACGACAGTTACAATGTCTTGTTTATCAGTTGGTCTTTGGTCAGTGTTACGGGTAATGTTTTTTTAAAAAGTGAAAATACTTGCTGAGGATGGTTCAGAAATGAATGGTAAAATTGGCTGCCTGTGTTGTATGCCTGCAACAAAATGGGAAACTACATGGCAGCGGGGAGCACTGGTGGGGTAGTTCAGTCCCCCCATTGTTTACGACTGTGTAGAGAAGGGATGTGGTCCAGTAAATGATCACTATTTACAAAATGGATTTATTTCAAAATTGGTTGTGGTATCCTGACTGTTTTGTGACTCGTAGCTCTGGGAGACTGGTTAGCATTCCTTTTTTCTTTTTTTCTTTCCTTTTTTTCCTGTAACTTCTGTTGATGGTGCTCACTGTGTGATGCAAGGCATCTCCCAACTCCTCCCAGCTCCCATTCTCCTCAGATAAGAAGTTGTGCTCGTTTATGGCTAGAAGAGCAGGACAATGGGGACAGACATTTAACCAGTTTCCTATGGATTGGGTACAAAAATGTCCTCATTGGGTAGTGGGCCTGAACTTATTTTCCTTGGTATAGAACTTGTTAAAATATCAATATAGACTCTTGGAATTGCTTTTACACAAGTGACACCCTCACATGTTTAAAATTATATTTGTGGTTATTTCAGCTTTTATTACCAGGATCTGCTTTTGTGATTCACAGGTTTGACTACAGTTAAATGTGTATGTTAAGCTTTTTTGGTAAGGTGCTAAAGTCTTAAGTTTCAGTGATGCATGACTTGTTTTATTAAAAGCAGTAATTATAGGAAGTTATTTTTAAATGCCTATTATGGTAATGTTCTTTCTTTTTTGATTTCAGAATGATGACCTATACAACCTCAGCATATCCTTCTTGTAACTCATGGGTATCAAGACTATAAATGTTTCATGTATCACAACTAGGACCTCACATCCTCTTCCTCCTCCTCCTCTGTAGATGGGTACGATGCATCCAGTTCAGTTTGTTTACTTTACACAAACCTCAGGAGTTCGTTGACTGAACTGCACATTCTTTGTTGTGCCAAGCAAAAGCACTGTGACACCTGGACAATGAGTCTTTTACTTCATCCTCTGCTATACAGACTTAGCTGGCCACAATGAACTGATGTGCCCACCACTGTGTCATGGTGAGAATGAGTATTTTACTAGCACATTTACACAATACGTTAAACTTCATTTGCTGCTGAAAATCTATATGACAAATCATCATTGTAAATTATTACATACAAACTGTTAATGTTGGTTGAAGAGTATTAAATATTTAACATAGGTTTTGATTTATACATGTACTTTTTTTAATTAAAACGTAACTTTTCTTACAGCACATCTTTTTTTGATGTGGAACTGAGGTATACTATATTCTGTTGTAAACAGAGTGGGGAACCTGCTTAAAACAAGACTTCTAAGAATAGAGTAGGGTACTATTCTTGTTTTAAGATTGTATTTCAGAAAATAATATAATATGAATCATTGGCCCTTGGGCCTTGATTGTACAGTCATATTTACTGATACTGTCAGTTGTAAAATAACCCTGATGTTGAGCTGAGTTCTTTCCAAAAGAAACATAATTTTGTACGCCTGTAAAATAATAGTCTGTAATAACAAAAATGAAGACAAATGTACTGTACATGGTATTTACAAGTGTCAACTTGAATTCATCAGTTGCACAGGATCATAAGAAAATCAGAAAAAAGAAATCAGAGTCTTCCATTGTATATATTGTAAAAAAAACCAAAACAAAAAAACCAAAACAAAAAATGAATGAATTCTTCAAAACTTTCCCTGGAATGAAAAATGTGGGTGTTTGTAAATTCTGGAAATTTCTTTCTATGTGTAATAAACTAGATACTGTTTTATCTGCTTTATTTTTTCCCTGGAACATTGTCTTAACCGTCTCAAATTGTGCCACCCACACTCCTTTGATACGGTCTCATTGTGTGTTACCAGGAATGGTGGCAGGTTACCATAGAGTTTGGTACATCAGAGTTGAAATCCCGGGTATAAGTAGTTAATAGAGAACACGCATCCCTGCATTACTTCATATATGTTATTTCACATGTCTGGAGAATTTCAGGATACAGTCCTTGGTCTATTCAAGGGAATAAAAAAAACACAGTGAGTGGATTAAGTGGACGTACTTGTCAAGACCTTAACAAGAAAGTATATGAAAAATGGCCCAGCTGGTCATCTGGGGCGTTTATACGGGGGGAGGATGGAGGGAAGCTTTAATTAGAGTGGCTCTCAGAGCTGCTCTAATAAAACTGCCTGGAGAGTCTCATGTATCAGTGTTCCTGCACTTAAAAATTGCGGCATTGTCGCTTTAACTAGAGCTTGTTTGAGTTTTAGTTAAATTGTCCCCACTGCCATTTTTAAGTGTGGGGATGCTGATGCATGTGACTCTGGAGTCTGCTGGAGCACAGTAATTACCACACTCCAGCAGACTTGATTAATAGAGCCTGCTCTGATGTGCTGTAATGACAGCATGTTGGAGCAGCTTTGCATGATCCTTGGAGATCAGTGCATGCAGAATGGCAGGGAGCTGCTGCTGCTTTAGCACTGTTTTATGTTCCTGGTTGGACCGGTGCTTCTCCTTTCATTCATAGCACTTGTGTGGGGCTTTGCTGTTTTGTTGGGGTGGAGTGACAGAAGTCTTGCTCTGGTCCTGGATTTCCATGCGCAAATATGGTTAAGTGGTAAGTAACGTGAAGTTGTATCGTCCCTCTTAGTCCATCTGCTTCTGCTGAGTAGCTGCATGCCACTGTCAATGTAGTAACAGCAGTCTAAGAAGAGGCAGGCCATCAGAGTAGCAGCAATCCCAGAGGAATGGCCGTGGAGCCTACAAGGATTTTGGGTTTTTGAGATGGATGGGATTACAGGAAGCTGCTGGCTTTGAAATGCTTGCCTGCGCCCAAAGAACGCTTCCCTTTAGAGAAGCTCATGCTAGAAAGTCATGAACCCTTGTCTATTTATTTTGTTTTGCTTTTCTCTGTAGGAAGTGGACAATCTAGTCTAATGTAGTTAATCCGTTATTCTTGAAAGGCATTGTCATGTAGTTTGCTAAAGAGCCATTAATGTTTACATAATAAGGGAACGATTCATGTCAAATAAAAGCCACATAACTGTCAGACCAACACTAAAGTTGATACGTTGCCCCTTTTTTCATTTAATCTTGGAATCCTCCTTATTATGGGTATAAATTGCAGTGAAAACTTGCATGTGTTTTAAAGCAAAAACCTTGAACCAGCTTCGTCTAGTTTAACAAATGAACATAAGTGTTCCCTGTGCTTCCTTCAGTTGCTGTATATTAGCCAATGCTCCTGTTAATTTAACTTTGATAGTATAGGATTTCACAGCCAGTGCACTTTGTGTTTGTTTCAGATAATTTGCATGCTTTAGCAATTGCTAAAATAGGTTATAGCTATTGGAAGCTACTATTAAATGTTTTTAAAGGAAATATTGAATCACTTACTAATAAAAATAGAAGTATTTTCCAACATGCATCTGACCAAATCTGGTACAACAATATGGGTTTATTTTACTTACCCTAGTTTAATAATCAACATTTGCCATCATTGGATGGAAGGCAGCATATGAGAGTGTGGGGAAGCAATCTTCCATTTCTGTCACTAGTGGTATAGACAGTTACTAGTCACTAGTGCTACAATACATAAAGTAAATTAATAGATTAACATTGTTTTTCATTGGTTTTTGTTATAGTGGTTATTTTTTTAGTACAATTAAACGTGCCTATTCAGCAAATACTGATTAAAAGGCCTCATGAAGCAAAATCCTTTCATAATCAACACAAGCTTAATCTTTTATTCGCCTAGATATTACACTTGTAAATTCCACAGTTGACTTAAAATTGGACATTATGAAGCAAACCCTGTTATATTAAAGGATAAACCCTTCAAGAAATATGGTACTACCTTGTTCTTTTATGCAATATCATCCTATTACAAAACAGAGTCTCACAAATAGGATCAGTTTTACATCCATGAAGTGAAGTAAAATAAATTGATTTTGGCTTAGTTTTGCCTTGAATTGTCTTCAAGTGAAAGTTACCATTACATACAGTTTTCTTTGATTGGGACAATTTCAATTTGAAAATCAGTGTAGTTGTATATGTGGCAATTCTACCTGTAGAGAATAAATAGACCCTGGGTTGGAAAAAGATTGAACCAGTCTGTCTGTGGTGATTTTAGTACTATTTTATGCATTGTATTCCGAGAATTGCTATATTCAGCCTCAATTTGCTGCCTACCTGGCCCATAATACCATGGAACTGTAAACAAGTCTTGATCCTTTTAGTCTCTGACATTCACCTGATTTGCTAACATTTTAAATGTCAAATGTCTCCAATAACATGCATTTCTCAAATGTTAAACATATTCCCAATAAAGGCACAAAGTCAGAAATAGAACGTAAGGCATGACCATGTGATAGGTAATTCTCATACTACCTTCTTTCTGTCTGCACATTTAAGAACTGGACTAACAAGATGATCTTGCTGTCAGCAAATTTTTACCTAAAAAGACAATTCAGTCTTTTTCTTAATTACATCCTTTAGGAGATGGCTATATCAAGATGTTTTAAATAGATACTTTATTAACTTTAAAACATGTACTGCATTTTAGTTGCATAGCCCTGCAATATCAGCGATTTAATAGGTGCATGTGAACAGTGTTTAATATTTGCTTTGCAAATGTTTGGGTTTTTTTTTTTGGGGGGGGGGGGTTGTGGTGGTTTTATTTTTTTATTTTTATTTTTTTAAGTGAACTAGTTTCAAATCTAGGAAAATGTTAAGGGATTTAGGGCTTGGCTACCTAGGAACTTTGGTATGGCAAGATAGGGTAGTAGTGTGGTAAACTAGGTTACATGAGCTTCTCTTCACTAAGTACCCCTAACTCCCTGGGTGGATGCTCTTAGTATGTACTGAAGGAGAGGTAACATACTGTGCTTCAAAAAAGGAGCAAAGCTGAAACATTTCCCCATGTGGATAACCCAGTATAATTTACTGGCATTGTAAACTAAGGCAGTAGCAATAGCATCTAAAACACTCCTTAAAGAGAAATGATATGAAATGTGATGAGTTCATATAATGCAACAAATAGGACACCATCTTTTCTAGCTATTGTACATCACATTTCCATTCCTGGGGTCATCTTTATAGCTTGAGACTGGCATGGCCCCCTTCACTAATTGGTTTTTTTTATTTGTTTGTTTTTTGTTTTTGTTTTTTGTTTTTTACTCCAGTAGATATCAGTAATTGAATAAAGCACAGGTCAAAGTGTCTATACCTCTGGAGGAAAGAGGCTGCTCTCAAAATTCTTTAGTTGGTTCCTTCATGACTAGGGTCATCAAGGGAAATTCCTGTGGGACCTCATGCCACAAGCTAATGCTCCAGTTCTCCATTATGGCACATTGGGTGTGTCTACACATTGCCCTATGTGTGTCTACACGTGATTGCCTTCTATATCACTGTAGCAGCATATTCCCTGGGTATAGTGCATTGCTATGGCGGTGTAGCGGCAAAATCTACCCATGCACTGTGGGCATGGCACAGTAACTGCACATCACTGTACAGCTATGTGTAGATGCTCCCATTGAGTATTTTTTCTTGGTTTCAGCGCTCCCTTTGTCAGTACTTTTTCAGTGCCTTCGTGGCTAAGTACAGATAGTCAAAAAGCCCGAGGCTGAATTGCTTCAGTCTTTGAAGATTAGTCTAAATTGCAAAGATTAAACTGAGAAACAACTGGACAGACATTCACTTTTCATTCAGGAAATGCATCCACGTACCTGCAGTGGCTCAGGCCAGAAGCCGGGGGATGCAAGAGGACAGCTCTCTGGCACACAGCCAGCATGGGCTGTGTGTGAGCTTCCTCTTCCTGCTGCCCCTGAAGTCTCTGGGATTTGCAGTCTAGAATCACTGTAGAGGGACTCTGCTTTCATTACTTCCTCTTCCTCCTTCCAGGTGCCTCTGTGATTTGTAGTCCACAGTTGCAGCCAGCAGTAAGTTTTTAGCAGGGCAGGACAGCTCTGTTTTCAGGGAAGGGAAGTTTAACCCCCCTCCCTGACCCCAGACCTCAGCCTGAGTTTACTAGGGGGCAGTCCCTGCTTCCGCCTGCCTATCTGCCTCCCACCAACACTTCTCTGCTGGAGCAGACTGCATAGCCCAACCCAGGGCTGGAAAACATGTTGGGATCATGGGGGACTGTGATTTAACTTGAACCAGGAAGGGGTCTGGGACAGAAGTTTCATAAACTTGTGTGACCCAAATCAGTTAAGTCTGTTACTACATTCAGCCAGGTTTATCTTAAACCAGTTTCAGGCATTTTGAAAGCAGTGTATGTGCACTCAATTTTTGTTCTGTTACAGGTTTAAACCTGTTTCTGATCACTTAAACTGGTTTAAGTGTAACTTCTTTCACTA